CTCGATCCCAGAAATCTTTTCCAACTTCAGGGATTCTGGGATTATTATTTCCTTTCACCTCTCCACCACCAGAAGAAAACTGGATTTTCCCAGCAGCTCAGGTGTTTCAGAGTTGAGCCAAGCCCAGGTACCTCTCCTGACGTTGTTCCACAGGTGATCTTTGCTCGCACACCTCTCGAAAGCCTCAGGTAACTTCACATGGCCCGAGCAGAGGTACCAGAACAGGATCCCAAAGGCATAAACATCCACGGAATTGTCGTATTTCCCTGGGAAAAAAAAAACATGTGGGATCAGCAGGGAAAAAAATCACTGGGAGCTAGGCAGGCTGAGAGGTGATTCCAGGGTCCCATTTCCCCAAATTTCAACCTTAATTTCATAGCAGGAAGACAAAACTTGTGTGAAACCCAGGAGCTGAGATCAAGGTTAAGCTTTCCCAGTTCCCAGGATTTATAAATTTAAGTTGTACCAGGAATTTCCAAACTGAGCTCAGGTGTGTTTTAAACACCAACACCTCAGCTCTGTCAGAGCCAAACGTCAGCCTCTCATCCCAGGAATATTCCAGGTATTCCCTAAATTCCCACAAATAGAAATGCTTCCATTTGATCCCAACCTTCTCCAAGCAGGAGCAGCTCTGACAGACCAAAACGATTTGGCTAAGTGGGATCTGAATTTCCGAGTGGTTCCAAAACTCAGGAAAAAGCCTTGGAGCAGCTGCCAGAATTCCCAGCGAATCCAAACTCACTCCAAGCTTGGAAATTCCTTACAGGGAATCCTTCCTGGAGTATTTCCCTATGGAAAGCCAAGGATTTCCAGCTTCCTACTAATGATAATTTACCTTTCTAATTGCAAGGCTGTTAATTACTTCCGCAGAGCTGACCAACCCCATTATCCCCTGTCAAGGGCGGCACTTAAAATACAGGAAGAATCCACAGCGTGCTTTGAAAGCAGGGAATTTTGTGGGGTTGGAATGTTCTCAGGAGCAACTGAGGGGTGAATTCCAAGGAATTTCCCTGGGAATTGCATTGGCAGAGCAGTGGATTCGGGGGGGATCCTACCTGTGAACAGCTCGGGAGCCATGTGGATGGGGGTGCCCACGATGCTGCCAGACATCATCGCCTCGGGTTTGCAGAAGCCCAAATCTGTGATCTTGGCCCGATTCTTTTTGTCCAGCTGGGGGGAAAAGTCACAGGCAGGCAGGTGAGAACCTCGTTTCTCTCGTAAAATATTGATTTTTTGATATAGATTCACACTGGGAGGGCTGAACAGATGGTTTTAACTCATTTTCTCTGATTTCCTGCCTGCTCTCAGGCCTTTCCCTGGAGGCATCACTTGTCTCCCACACCAGGAGTGTGGCTGGGATTTCAGGGAAGCAGGAACTGGAAATCCTGCTCATGGATTAAGCTGTCTGCACTCCAAAGGAATCATTCCCTGCTGCCTTTGCCCCAGGCTTCCAGCCAGGAAAGGAAACAGCCAAACCTCCCTGTGGCTGAGACCAGCACAGCTTCAAATATCCTGTGTGGAGAAAATTATTCCCTCACTTCAAGATTCTTTTTCTCCACTACAAAGGCTCTGGGATGAGGCAGAGGCAGGGATTTTCCTTACCAGGACGTTTTTGAGTTTGATATCCCTGTGCACCAAGCCCTGGCTGTGCAGGTACCGGATCCCTTCCACCACATCCAAGGCAATCTGCAACCGTGGCTCCAATTCCAGCCCAGCCTGAGGGGAAAAACACGGATTTTATTCCTAAAAGTTGCTTTGGTCTGCTCTTCTTTATCAAAACGCTGAGAATTGAGCAATTCCAGCTTTGTTTTATGGATTAATGGGGATTTTTTTCAATTAGAGAATCACGGGTTTGGGTTGGGAGATTAAAACTCATCCCATGGGCAGGGACACTTCCCACTAAACCAGGTTTACTCTGAGGGGAAAAACACAGATTTTATTCCTAAAAGTTGCTTTGGTCTGCTCTTCTTTATCAAAACGCTGAAAATTGAGCAATTCCAGCTTTGTTTTATGGATTAATAGGGATTATTTTCAATTAGAGAATCACAGGTTCGGGGTTGGGTTGGGAGATTAAAACTTCCCACTAAACCAGCTCGCCCCGAGCTCTGTTCCCAGCACTTCCAGGGATAAAATCACTATAAAACCAGTATTTAATAAGGGAATTTGGTACCTTCAGGCCCGTGTAGAGGTCCCTGTGCAGCCTCTCCATGATGAGCAGCACAGCAATGCTGGAGCCTCCCCCGTAGCTGTAATCGATCACGGAGCCGTGCAGGTGCACCAGCCTCTCGTGGGACTGCAGGGACCTGCAACGGGTTCAGCACAGAAAATCTGGGTCATTTTTATCCCTGTCCTCCAGCCCGGGTCAAGGGAAGAAGCCCCAGAGTCTCTGCAGAAGGTTTAGCACAGAAAATTTGGGTCATTTTTGGTCCTGTCCTCCAGCCCAGGTCAAGGGAAGAAGCTCCAGAGTCCCTGCAGAGACCTGGCACAGGCTCAGCACAAAAACCTGGGGTCATTTTTGGCCCCTAAATCCCTTCAAGGACCTGAAGAGGGCTCAGCATTAAAAAATTGGGGTCATTTTTGCCCCTGTCCTCTAGCCCAGGTCAAGGAATAAAGCCCCAGAGTCCCTGCAGAAGGTTCAGCACAAAAACCTGGGGTCATTTTTAGCCCCTGAGTCCTTTACAGGGATCTGCAGAGGGTTCAGCACAGAAAATTTGGGTCCTTTTTATGCCTGTCCTCCATCCCAGGCCAAGGGAAGAAGCCCCAGAGTCCCTACAGAAGGTTCAGCACAGAAAATTTGGCTCCTTTTTGGCCCCTGAGTCCCTGCAGGGACCTTAAGCAGGCTCAGCACAAAAATTTGGGTCCTTTTTGGCCCCTGAGTCCCTTCAGAGAGCTCAGCACAGAAAATCTGGGTCATTTTTATCCCCTGTCCTCCAGCCCAGACCAAGGGAAGAAACCCCAGAGCTGCAGCTTGAGCAAAAATTCCCAGCACAGCTCAGAGCAGCACAATCCTCAGCTGTCTGAGGCAATTAAACTCAAAAAATAAAAGCCTTTTTAAAGGTTGGAGCCACAAAAAAGCCCATTCTTGTGTCAGCTGGCTGTGCCTGCAGCTGTTTACTGCAAACCAGCTGCTCCCTGCACTGCACAGCCATCCTTGGCTTTTTTTGGGGATTCAGGCAGGACAAGGAGTGGGAAAAGAGGAAGGATTCACCACCAGGAGTCAGGGGAGGAGAATTGCTGGTTATTATGGTCTGTAAATTGGAATTTATTTGGAATTTGGACAGCAGAGAATCCGATTAAGGCAGGAAGGAGCAGCCCTGCCCATCACAAGGTGCTGCACATAAGTAAAAAACTTATAAAAGGAAGGTTTTATAAAATCATGACCTAAGCCTGTTACTTCAGCTAAGTGCAGTTAACAACTAGCATGAAAAAAATCTAAAAAAAATTAAAAATCAATTTACATAACAATCTATTCTTACTAAGAAAAACAAGCTGCACCTATGGAAAAGAAAAAGTCTATCCCATGAGGGAAAAAAATATATAAACACCAATATGAAAAGAGAATATACACACAAACACCTTCTAATTAAGAAATTAAGTAGCAAGAAAATTACTAACCAATTAAAGTTAAACACAAAACCCTGAAAAACTAAAACCACTAAAACTTTCAAGTGCTGTGCCCATCTTTATTCACCAATATTTATTTTAGTGTTCTATGGTTGAGCATTCCAGGAGCTCCAATCCCACATTCCAGAGTGGAACTGCAGCAAACCTGGATCAGAGCTCTGGGCTGGGAGACAAAGGGGACACCAGGCACAGCCTGGGGGCTTTTCCAGCCTGAAATAATCCTGGGAAATCCAGCAGATCCCCGTGGAATGGGGGAAGCTCTCAGGTACAGACCTCATGTAGTGAAATTCCAGTGCCAGGTCGTTCCAGTGCTTCTCGTCGGGAGGGACGACGGATTTGAGGGCGCAGGGGAAGTGTCCCCCCCAGGTGTCACACAGGTACACCACCCCGTACTGGCCTCGGCCCAGCTCCCTGCCCAGCCTGGGCTTCCCTGCAAGGCACAGAACCCTGGAATCACCCACAATCCAAGGCACAAATCCCTGGAATCACCCACAATCCAAGGCACAAATCAGCCCAAATCCAAGGCACAAAATCCCTGGAATCAGTCCCCAACCCAAGGCACAAATCCTTGGAATCAGCCCACAATCCAAGGCACAAATCCCTAAAATCAGCCCCCAATCCAAGGCACAAATCCCTAAAATCAGCCCCCAATCCAAGGCACAAATCCCTAAAATCAGCCCCCAATCCAAGGCACAAATCTTTGGAATCACCCACAATCCAAGGCACAAATCCTTGGAATCACCCACAGTCCAAGGCACAAATCCTTGGAATCACCCACAGTCCAAGGCACAAATCCCTAAAATCAGCCCCAATCCAAGGCACAAATCCTTGGAATCAATCACCCCCAATCCAAGGCACACAAATCCCTGGAATCAGCCCCCAATCCAAGGCACAAATCCTTGGAATCAATCACCCCCAATCCACATTTTTCCCTCCTGCACATTGCCAGCCTGGGCCAGCGGAGGAATTTGGAGGTGCCAGGTGAACCCTGGCTGGAAAACGCAGTGAGAACCCCAAAGCCTGTCCCACAGAGCAGGAATCCATTCCCACAGGAGCCCTCACCGTGCAGCAGCACGTCCTGCAGGGATCTGCTCTCCAGGGACAGCCGGGCCAGCCGGGGCGCGTGCTCCTTCCTCACCTTCAGCCACAGGTCCTCGGTCCTCTCCAGCCGGCCCGAGTGGCCGTCCTCCAGCTGCAGGGACAGCGACGGGGACACCACGGGGACAGGGATGGGGACAG